GTTTGAACCCTCAACCGATGACGAGAAAAAAATGTTCGTTACGTGAATAAAAAAAAAAAAGTGAACTAAAATATAATAAAATATAAAAAACTCTTTTTATTTCCAGCTATTTACCAAGGCAGCATTTCTCATTTTCATTTAGTTTAAGTACTTAAATAACTAAAATAAAAAATAAAATAACACTGGTTGGGGGCGGGACTATCTGCTTGATTGACAGATGGCAGGAGTGTTTAGGAAACCTGTTCGGCCTCAGTCATTATTTCTGTGAGAAATGACAGATTTGATAAATGTTCTGAATAAATCCGTATAATATCATAAACAGGAATGGACAGATCAGTGTGATAGAGTTACAGTGATCACAGCTGCACGTTTGTCTGGATAAAATCAGATCCGACCTGACTTTCTAATAAAAGCTGAATGAATAACACGAAATGAAGACGAAAGCAGAGACAGAGTCTGATGAGTTTCACATTCACATCACATCTGTGCGGATCATCTCCTCATCATCTCTCCACGGAAGCCATGTTCAAACATCTACTCCGCAGTCAAACACACGTGTTTACATGCGATTCTGATCTCTTAAAGAGATAGTCCACCATATAACGATCGATCTGTCATCGAGATATTTCGAACCTGTTTGACTTTCTTCGGTGGAACAGTGGAAATGGAGATGTTCTGAAGAAACAACATTGACTTTCACTGTATGGACAAAAACTCAAAATATCTTATTTTTTGCAGTAAATAATGACAAATTTAGAGATCCTTACAGACATCTTCATGTCTGTGTATTATAGAGTTTAGAAACAAAAGAAACCAAACTTCACTTCTAAACTGAACTCTATATTTCACTGATAAGGTTTGTAGTGATGACAAAAAATAATTTAATTTAGTTATGTATTTTTAATTTTACTGACTCTTGAATGATAGTGTATCATGGTATGAAAACTCTAGCGTGTGAAAAACTATTCCAGTCATCTGAATGAAGCATCACAGATTAGCTTTAACTAGATCTCTATACAGACATGAACTTCATTCAGCAGACGCTTTTATCCGCATGAGAAAAACACAGAAGCCATAAAACATTACCAACCAGAACTGAACTGAAGCAGATGCAAAACAGAGTTAGCGAAGAGAGTAAAATACTCAAGTAAAAGTCAAGACGCACGCAACACTAAACTCTACAATCACAAATGAAGGTAAATTTAATACTTTGAAGACCAAGTAAAGAAAATGTAAAGAATAAATCGGAGGGAACACAATATGTCAATATGGTCTCTGAATGTGAATGTCTTCTATTAGCAACACTTTAAAGTTTGAAAACACAACATCCAACAGATCTCCATTACTTTTTAATTCATTTGACAAAAAAGCTTGAATATCTCTGCTCCGAACACTAGAATATGGAAATAACTTTTACTGTACATTTTGATCAAATGGCAAAAACAGGATGTTCTTTCTCAGTATTTTTGTCTTGTTTTCCAGTGCAAATGTCTAAAAATCCTTAAATTATAGATATGAGGTCTTGCTCTCTGAGAAATTGATCAAAATGAGTTTAAAATATTAAAATATTAGATTAAAATAAGAACAAATATCTGTCAGCGGGCTCAGAAAAATCAACTTAATTCAAAGGGAAACAACTTTTTATTCCTCGCTGGCAGATATTTGTTCTTATTGTAATCATAAACTCACTTCATTTTGTTCAGTTTCATAAGACTTCATATCTTAATTTCTCATCTCCAGTATATGATTCTTGATTTAAGGATGTTTAGATATTTGTACTGGAACACAAGACAAGAATACGGAGGAGGAGATTCAGATTTAGCAGTTCATGCAACATTTAATGCTACGACTTTATGAATTTAAGACTTTTTGCTCTGATTTAAGATCTTTTAAGGCCTGAATTTGTGGAAGGGTGAATTAAGACTTTTTAGAACCCACAGAAACCCTGTAAAGGTTTTTTAAAGAAATAAGAGGTGACTAACTTGAACGACTAGTCAAAGCAGTTCATGCAACCAGCCACAGATTGACTGAAGAATCTCCACACAAACTCTCAGATGAGCAGAATTCACCAGCGCTCGCGGTGAGAAGCGTAAATGACCTATGTGTCGCCTGTCAGCGCTGATCTGGATCTCCAGCAACGAGTGTGTGAGAAGCCGCTCTTACCTTGATGGTGCTGGCCATGCTGGAGCAGGACGGGCCGTCCTCACGCCGCTCCTGTGTGTCTGTGTGTGTTTACGGCGGCGCGTGTGAGTCACGGTTCTGCCGAGCACGGTTTGGAGCGGATGAGATTGTGCTAAAGCTGGAAGTGAAGTCAGCCCGCAGCAGGAAGAGCTTTCTATTGGTTCTGGATGCGCAGCTCGAAGAAACAGGATATTTGGGAGAGCAGAGATAAGCTGAACTGAAACAATGATGTTTTTCTGGACGGGTGTGAGACGGAGAGACAGACAGGTGCTGTGAGACAGACAGGCTACAGATGTGTGCTACAGACAGACAGACGGATGAAGGCTCTGACCTCTGACCTCACACGCTCTCCTCAGGTGTGAACATCTGTCAACACACCCATAATGCACTGCAAACATGGGGGTCAAACACACTCGATTACAACACAACCTGATCATAGTGACCAACTCAACACACATTCTGCTGCCGTCACACACGTGATCACGACTGTGAGTGTGACGACGACACACACACACACACGCTCACACTCACACTCACACACACAGACACACACACACAGAGAGCTGCTTAACTAGTAGAACTAACTGAAGCCTCTAACGGCACAGATCAGGTGTGTGTGTGTGTTTGTTCAGTGTTGTGTTCCTCAGATGCTCTTGAGTAACATCAGTTACTATGAGGAAGTTACAGTGAGACACTTTACAGTATGATGAAATCGGTGAACACAGGAGAGACGCCCTGATACATACACACACACACACACACACACACACAAACTCACGCACACACACACACGCTCACACTCACAGACACATACACTCGCACACACTCACACACGCTCACACTCACAGACACTCACAAGACACACACACACACACTCGCTCATACTCACAGACACGCACACACACTCACTCACATTCACAGACACGCACACACACACACACACACTCGCTCGCACTCACAGACACACACACTCGCACATACTCACACACGCTCACACTCAGACACACACACACACACTCGCTCGCACTCACAGACACACACACTCGCACATACTCACACACGCTCACACTCAGACACACACACACACACTCGCTCGCACTCACAGACACACACACTCGCACATACTCACACACGCTCACACTCAGACACACACACACACACTCGCTCGCACTCACAGACACACACACTCGCACATACTCACACACGCTCACACTCAGACACACACACACACACTCGCTCGCACTCACAGACACACACACACACGCACACACACAAACGCACACGCACACGCTCACACTCACACTCAGACACACACACACACACACACACGCATTCGCACTCACACACTCACACACACTCACACACTCACACTCACACACAGCTCTGTCACTCTACAAAGAGAGCAGCATCTGCCCGCAGGACAACAGTATTCCTGCATACTCATAGAAAACAGAGAGCTGTCTCTCCACCGGACAGACAGACAGATAGAAGGTATTATGGGACTCCAGCAAAACTTCAGAATGATGCTTCACACACACACACGCACACACACAAACACACCATCATCATCATCATCACTAAAAGCATTAACTGCAACAGGTGCTTCACACTGTCTAACACGCTTTAGAGCCACAGCATGACACAAAAAACATCCATAATATCTTATTATATATCTTGTATTATATATTAATACATACACATACATACAACACAAGAGAGTTCAGAGCAAACTACACACACACTCACGTGAAGCTCATGTCGTGTTCACGGCGCTGAGAAACTCCTGTCCCGCTGTGGCGCAGAACTCATCTGAGCGGCCAGATCACCGCGAACCCTGAGCACCCGCGTGTGTGTGTGTGTGTGTCAGTGTCACTGTTTGGCGCTGCTACTGCTGAGGCTGCTGGATAACAAATGTCTGGAGATCTGCAGGTTTTCTGCACATGCTGAGACAGAGCTGCGTCTGAACGTCTTCACTACTGTACAGAGTGAGTGTGTGTGTGTGTGTGTGTGTGAGTGTGAGAGTGTGTGTGTGTGTGTGAGATAGAGAGTGTGTTTGTGTGTGTGTGTGAGTGTGTGTGTGAGAGAGAGCGAGAGTGTCTTTAAGCATCAACACTGATGGATATTCTTTTAAAATGTGTGTATTCAGTATGGCAGAGTTATATCAGTAATTAGAGTTTCCCAAAAAGGTTTGTAAGTTGATGAAAATGTAATAATGAATTAAATCATAAACATTTAAAATAAAAAACAATTATAAAAAAATATATATATTAAATATGTGCTATTTATTGTTTATTAATATTTTTTTTTACTGGTTTACCTATATGTCATGTGACCACTGACCAACATCAGTGAACTGTGAACATGCGAGTGTGTTGATAAATTACTATTAATTTAAAACCTCAAGTGGACTTCAAGTAGTTTCTGTTCATGCTTCTAATGATACTAGAGACGATCTCTACACGGATCACTCATAAACTAACATCTACTGCCACGACTAAAACACATCTGCAGCAGCAGCTATAATTCCAGCACAGACACTCATGAACACCAGCGTAAAATTAGCATTAAAGCATGTGATGGATCTGATCCCGTCTGTCATTAGTGAACGTCCCGAGACTTCAGTTCACACAACCTGCAATACTGATTCAGCTCAGTGTGTGTGTGTGTGAGAGTGAGTGTGAGTGTGTGTGTGTGAGAGTGAGAGTGAGTGTGTGTGTGTGAGAGTGAGAGTGAGTGTGTGTATGTATGTATATATGAGAGAGAGTGTGCATGTGTGGTCTTATCAGACGTCTTTAATAGCCCTAAAAGAATTACACCACTTAGCATATTTCCAGCAAATTAGCCACATATGTGTGTGTTCGTGTGTGTGTGTGTGTGTGTGTGTGTGTGGTGTTTGGCCGTCAGTCTGTTTATTCTCACACAAATGTGGCTGGCGTCTGCGGTCAGCTGCTCCTCTCTTCTGATTGGACGAGAGCTGGAATAACATACTAACACGCTACACTCACTACTCTGCAGTACGCAGTACATTTCTATATGAACCACATCAGCAGTGAACGTGAGATATATAAGAGAGAAGTGACTGTACTGTATCCCACAATGCAATGCGCTCACCTGGACGCCACATTTACACAAAACTGCATTCAAAAGGTGAAAGAACTGGATGTCACCCACTGAATGATACGTGACGACAACTGAGTGAACTACTGAGACACTGATCTAAGGTCTGATCACATTTACCGTTGTGTCAGAGGGAATCCACACAATCTGGCGAAAGACTTCCACATGCAGATTTCACAAGAGTGAAAGTTCGAACTCAGTTTGCCAACAGAAGCTGCTGGGTCTGAAAGGGACTTCATGCATCACTACACTTGTTTGCCTTCAAAAATCCCATTAATGTGATTTCAGTATCACTGAGATACTATACAGTTTTTCATTCATATTTTGAAAGTTTTTATTTTAATATTTTAAATGTAGTTATAGTTTTATTAATTTTGTTATGTGCTTTTCTCATTTTTAGAGTCGAGAACCCCTTTTATATTACATCTAGTTACACCAAATAAGAAATGTAGATATATAGATATGTAGAAATACGTTTTTTATATTTTATTTTTATTTCAGTTAACATTTATTTTATTTCAAGCAATCTCTTGCTGTTTAAATTTTAGTTTGTTCTAGTTTTAGTTAACTTTAATGTACTCAAGTACATACTGCACAGATCTCTGAATAAATATAAAACATTAAACCATCTATAAAGATTCAAACCTGAGCTGTTAGAATCAGTGAGATTTACAAACACACAGAGTTCAGTTTGAGAGTCTGATGAAGAAGTTAATAACCAAATATTAATATGCAAACAATATTCACATTCTAATGAAATGCAGATCTAGATGAACTAGCAGCACTAGAGGAAAATAAGAGCTCATCTGCGAGTGAAATGCACCTGATGGATCCAAGAGTTTCCCATAATCCGGCTCAACCAGAACCGAGTGCTGCGTCATCGCTCCGGCTGCGGTGGGTCCCGCGTCTGGCCTCACGCTTCGCCGTCAGTAAACCTCACTGAGGTTTTGTCACCAAAGATCACAACAAAACTGTGATGGAGCTGCAGCGCAAGTGAATCCAGGAAAAACAGAGGAGCGTCCAAACGTGCCGAGTTCTGACTCACAGCGCTGCTGTTTACTGTCTGACCCAGTTACACTGATCCAACACAAGCACCGCTGATTAACCAGCTCCACACGCCGGTAACCTGTTACACAGCTGGAGAGTGTGAGTGATTACTGCAGCACACACTGCCATGATGCTGAAGTTATGATGGGTGGTTGCTAGCGTGTTCTCAGTGGGTTTTTTTCATATGGTTTGTAGATACGGCTCGAGAAAGCATAATCTCTTGCTGCTCTGAGAGTCACGTCATCATTTCATTTGATAAAACTATCATAAACACAGAAACTCAAAGCTCCAACAAAATTTCTAAAAGTTCTCAAAAACTCAAAAGTTCTAAATTATCACACAAATACATCACTGTTTATAATAATAAAAAACTATATTTAAAAAAACTATGCTGTGCAGCACTATTAATGACAAAAATGCAATGTCCTCTCACACACACACACACACACACACACACACACAGATGGGTGTGGGGAGGGCATTCTCCAGGGACAGTGTGTTATTTCCCTGTGAGACTGCTGTGATGTCATAGTGATGTCAATGCCCTTAATAGTAATCTGACTGAGAGAGAGAGAGAGAGAGAGAGGGGGGGGGCAGCGCGCCGTCTCGGCTCGATTCCGTCGCGCCCGCCTCGAGCCCCACGAAGCCCACCTTCAGCTTCTTCTCGGCCTGCGGGGCGGGATACATGCCGCCGTTGCGGGATTTCTGCACCATGCTGGAGGTGCTGCTGTCGTCATGGAGATCCGCTGGTGCTGATGCTGCGGGTCTTCAGGTGCGAGCATCACTGTGCGCTAGAGGTGCGCGGCGCGGAAGGCGTGCGGAGGAACATGAAGCCAATAGCTACGCGAAGACGATCTGCAGCCTACCTCTCTCTCTGTTTCTCTCTATTTCTCTCTCTCTCTCTCTCTCTCTCTCTCTCTCTCTCTCTCTCTCTCTCTGTCACACACACACACACACACACACACACACACACACACACACACACACACACACTCTCTTTCTCTCTGTCACACACACACTCTCACACTCACACAGAGGGAAATCTAAAATTAGTT